AAGTTCCTAAAGATAAATCAAATGTATGCCTCAGACATCTGTAATAAATTAATGGTAATGCAGGCTTTGAATCTACTATTAGCAGAATATGAAAGATTCTTTCTTCACCCGTTTTCCTATCTTATCCTGGGGCCCTAATGTTTTTGTGGATTTCAACCTGTGGCAGAGAATGACATATGAAGTGAAGTGGATAAAGAGAAGTGAAGGACAGATGACAGTTCATCATGATGCATAAAGTCAGCAAGAAGTCTGTGATTCAGTTCTCTCTTTGCTTATAATGAACAAGCATACAATCAAGTCCTTTCATTATAAAATGTAATTGTTACAGTCCTAGGAACCAAAGAAAACATTTGTAGGACAGGAGTATCTATGCAATAGAATCCCCTCTAACCAAAACAATAATTTTAGACTGTTGTTGTTGTTTGCCATCGACTCAGAGCGACTCCTCTTTGGGTTTCAGAGGCCGTATCACTATGGAAGTAGATTGCCCAATCTTCCTTCTGAGGAGTAGCTGATGGATTTGAACCGCCAGCCTTCTGGTTAGCAGTCAAGGGCCTTAGGCACTATGCTACCAGAGTTCCTAATTTTAGACTAATCATATCCTTCTTTATACAGAATGCTTCCTTTGTTGTCAAGGAGTTTACACATGATGCACCACTTTCAAACAGCACAAAAATTCCTACTTTTTATTAGCTGTAGTAGTGAGTTCGAAGGGTTACCACAGAAAAACAGCTCTGCTATCTTTCCTGACTCGATAATCCCACTGACAAAAACTTTGAATCCCAACAAACAAAAGCGGCACACTAAAGAGAGAATACAATGTTAGCTTCTGAAATTTTATTTTTAACAACATACATATCACAAACAGAAACCCTCTAACACCACATACAATTCCATAACCAAACATTTCAAATTTTATCAACATTCTTCAACTATTTACACTGTCTTCCCTCAACAAAAGTGCAATCCAAGACATCTTGACAAGAATTTTTTACTGACAAGAATACATTTTTGAGCTGGTTTTAATGGTGTCCATCCGTTTTATTTTCTTTCAATTACCTGGAATGATATAAAGTTAACAGTATATAGAGATGAATTGGGTTAGGCAACATCCTACTGCAGGAGCCAAAATAGTGAACAAGAGCACGTTCTCCCCACCTCCTCCCCACCGTCCATCTCAAATCACTCAAGGGTTGCTACCTGGGGCTAACCAGAAAAACAGACTAGAATTACTGACCTGCGCACAGGAGCAGAGACTGCAGTTTAAGCACTGGTCTTGTAAAACTAAACAAAAGATTTCAGCAAGTTAGTTTCGGTGGTTTATTATGTTATGTATCAGTACACCTGTTAGTTTGAAGATTCAACACCTATTATTCTTTCTCGATGAGTTAATTTTTCGAGGCAGATATGAAAACACCTTTAATTCAGAGGAATGGACCTTTTGACAAAAACTGGTAATTAGAGGACGTCTCAGGAAAGGTCTTCCTTAATAAGGATGGGGTAACTGACTCCCTGATTTCATGGCACAAAGGCTATCTTGTAAGGTGTAAAAGCCAGCACCTCAACTGCTTCAGACACTAGCAGTGGAGAAAGGAGAGCTAACACAGCCTGCAGAGATGATGATCAGACATTCTCACTCAAGGGTTTTAATTGAGCAGATAATTTTATTTGCTTGAAGTATATAACTTAAGAATGAATGATAAAAAGAGAGTAAATGTTAAAGTGGATGAAAAATCAATTTGAAATCATTAAGAGTGGTTCATATTATTGAACTGAACATCAAAAAAACAGCAATTGTTGAGACAAAGTATATGTGAACTGCTGTATGAAAAGTGAATTTACTCTGTAAATCTTCACCCAAATCCTAATAAAAAAAAAAAAAAAAAAACAGCAATTGGACCTCTTGGGTGAGTAACAAACACCCTTTAAAATTCTAGTCATGACAAAAATAATCATCTTTGTGGACATATATCAATTCCCTTCATGGTACTCAAAGCAAAGAATTTTGAGAAAGCGTGGGGAAATACTAAAGTCAGCAGATTTCCAAAATGAGATTTATCTTCACTCACAGTGTTGCAGACTCAGATTTATTATATTCTCAAAGTGGTCAAATTTTCATTCTTAAATAAGAATGCAACATCTTAAAGGCAAAAGATATTCACCTATGCCCCTCTTTTTACCTAACTGCAGCATCCACAGAATCCTAATTTCATCATTAAAATAAAGGTCCCAAGAAAATTTTACCCAGTCACCGTGAAACCTCACCATATTTATTTTTCAGGGTACAGAAAACAAGATAAAGAGAAGATGTTAATTGCAGCAAACACTATCCCCACAAAGATTTGAGAGTGAAGAATTTGCTGAACAGAACCTTACAGGAAAACTTCTAAGTTTCAGAACAACATATGCAGGTTTCACCATAAAAAATTTAGCTGGGTTAAAGAACAGCATTACAAACATTTACTATTCACTGTAAATTCAGAAATAAAATCCCAATGGTACTCTAAAGACAAGAGAAACTTACCCATTTTCAGATTTGGGCAGGTGACAGAACCAGTAAGGAAAGACCTAGTTCATGGTCCCAGCTCTGCGCCCTAAAGACACCTGGCAAGGGCTCTGTCCCCTACACCTCTGAGTTACATCCAACACCACAGACCAACAGTGGTGTTCTGTTCCTCATGGCATTCGAGTACTTCCCCACTGTGAACTATTTTTCAGATCATCAGGCACCAAGTCAGACACAGCAAACCAAGTGACAATCATCCAGACTGAGAGACGGAGAATACTAGTCGATGCACAGGTCCCTCAATGCTGTGCTGTTTCAAACAGAACATCAAATATTTCATGTGGTAGAACTGAGAGTCCCAATAGTCCTGACACTTTTGTGAGGAAAAAAAAAAAAAAAATCAGTTTCTCTAAGAAAAAAATGGTACAAGCCACATAAGTAATAAAAAATGTCTAATTTGGCTTTCCATAAAACATGGCATTTTCGGTATTCTCTAAGCATGTAAACAGATCAAACTTGAAATTATCGAACACATTTTTAAAAAGCCATATGCCAGTTCCAATTCTATACATGTATGGGGTAAATTGTTGTTGTTGTTGTTACGTGCCATAGCGTCGGACCCAACTCATAGCAACCCCTTCTTGGGTTTCTGAGACAGTATCACTATGGAAATAGAGTGCCTGACCTTCTTTCTGAGGAGTGGCTGGAGGGTTTGAACTGCCAGCCTTCTGGTTAGCAGTCAAGTGCCTTAGCCACTACACTACCTGAGCTCCTCAGAAAGAGACGGCCTGGTCTACCTGGCAGGGAGCTGTTGGTGGGTTTGAACTTCCAGCCTTGCACTTGGCAGGTGACTACCTTGTGCGAGGTCATCCCCTGGGCTGGTCAATCACCAGAAGGCTGAATTTGGAAAGCTCAATGATCTGACTGACGAAGTATCACATAATATCATCTCTTCACCAGTGGTAGGTATAACGGGGTCAATGTGCTCGCCTGCTGACTGAAAAGTGAGAGGTCTGAGAGGTCTGAGTCTACTCAGAGGAAAGGTCTGGCAATCTCCTTCCACAAAGCACCCACTGAAAACCCTATGGAGCACAGTTCTACTCTGCCACACAGGGGTCACCAGGGGTTGCAACGGACTCAATGGCAACCAGTTAAGGTACCATGGGGATCTTTAGAATAATGCATTTTAAAAATATACTATTATGCATTACAGTGGTTATGAACATTTGGCTGCTAACCAGAAAGTCGGTGGTTCAAATCTACCACCAGCTGCTCCATGGGAGCAAGATGAGGCAGTCTGCTTCCATAAAGATTTATAGCCTTGGAAACCAAATAGGGCAGTTCTACTGTGTCCTACAGGGTCACTATGAATCAGAATCAACTCAATGGCAGTGGGTTTGGTTATGCATAACTATCAGTGTTTTTCCAGAAACACACTTTTAATGAATATTCTTCTCCTTATCAACCTCTCACAAAATTATTTCTTTTCTCTCCTTGGGTCAAATTTTTTATTTTGGAAACTTAACATTAAATGTGTAAAACGTGACCGTAAGCAATTCTGGGGAAGATAATGAGTGGCAGTGATTGGTTCTAAAACTCACCAGTTAGGTTCTGTGGCTGTGAGGTTCACATGTGCAAAGAATCTGACATCAAGAGGCACAGTGACAGAGCAACGTGTATAAGTCGTTACCATCTAAATCATGCTATTCAGGCATTCCCTTTAAGAGCTATTCTGACCAACCTCAAAGACACAATTCAAATGACAGATTTATGGATTTCTGTCCTCTTGACTCAATGTGTGTCATTTCTTAATTTCTTTAATAAACTCACCTATAGGTCAGCTTACCTAAAAATATTTGTCATATAAGCAGCTTTCCTAAGTCTTATAATTTGGACACTGTTTTCAGTATGGAAAACTGACAGATTACAACAGTGATGGATACGGCACTCGGGTCCACTTTCCAGCAATCTGTCAGTGAGGGTGAATTGCACATCAGTGCATGCTGCAGAGCACTAAGCCACAATAGACTTGTACACTCTCAGCTCTCCAGGGTCACACTTACATTCACTTGTCAAGTATTTCTCCCAGAGCCCAGGGAAGAGCTACAGGTCGTTATTTAGATACGGGACATTTTAGTGAGAGTTTCCTCCCAACTTCTGCCAGGCTTTTAGCTTGTAACAACATCATCCCTTCCCTAAATTCTCCTCATCCTCACCACCACCTTAGAGCTGCATCAGACACTCTTCATAATGGGGAACCACTACCCCAAACTCGCAGCATTCCCCATCTGGGCTCTGGTCATGATCACAGACAGACACTCGGGCATCAGAGAGCACAAGGGGCAGCCCAGCCCCAGTTTAGTGGCACACATACAACAAAGTAACTCTCCTGAAAATTAGAAAAGAAATTAATGTCACAGAATGTTTCCCTATAAAAGATATGTAATAAAGTAAGAATATCAATAAAATAGCTATTACTAAAGCAAAGCTTTCATCAATAAGCTTCGAGGACTTTGAAGGAGGAGAATGGCTTCACAAAATGGTAGTCCAGGTTCCCACAGTGTGGACACTGCTGGACGTTGCTGTACTCGGAGAAGTACTGCATCCCAATGCGCACGTCAATCACGGGCTTCCCGCAGTGCTTACAGTTCAGGCGGGCCTGGTGGAAACAGAGACAGTGTAAGCCAAGATGCATTCTGCTCCTCTCCTTATAAAAACCTTCCAAATAACAGTGCAGTGAAACAATCATCCGAGAAACTGATCAAGAGTTTAGGAAAATGTCCTCTGTATTCCCAAACACCAGGGATGCAAAGCGTAAGATCGTTGTTGCTGTTAGCTGTTATCAAGCCAGCCAACTCCTGGTGACCTCATGTACAACAGAACGAAACAGTGCCCAGTCCTGTGCCATCTTCACAACCATGACGTGCTCACGTCCACTGCTGCTGCCACTGTGTATTCTGAGTGCCTCTCTACCTAGGGCTCATCTTCAGCACTGTGTTGGGCAATGTTCTGCTGTAATCCATACAGTTCTCATTGGCTAATTGTCAGAAGTAGATCATCAGGCCTTTCTTCCTAGCCTGTCTTAGTCTGTAAGTGCCACTGAAACCTGTCCACCATGGGTGACCCTGCTGGTGTTTGAAATACTGGTGGCATAGCTTCCAGTACCATAGCAACACACAAGCCAACATAGTACAACAAACTGACAGACGAGTGGCGGAGCATTAGTCTGACGGAGTAACAACCCCTAACTCCTCTCCTGATATGCAGCTTGCTAGCAGCTGCACATACCAGTCAGAAGCAAATTCCAATGAAGTGCTGCCCAAACTCCTCCATCAAAGTTCCCCCTAACAATAGGAAACCATTTCCCCTGGGCTCTAGGGAGTGGATAAAGCTGGCATCCTGCTCTAATCCTGCATGAAACTTCTTTGAAGATTCTATTTTTTAAAATAATATGCATTTTCCAAGGAGCTCTGGTAGCATAGTGGCTAAAGCACTTGACTGCTAACCAGAAGGGCGGTTCAAACCCACCAGCCACTCCTCGGAAGGAAGGTTGGGCAATCCTACTTCCGTAGTGATACTGCCTTGGAAACCCAAGGAGGGGTCGCTATGAGTCGGGGCTGATCCGACGGCACATAACAACAACAACAACAACATGCATTTTCCATCTTACTCCATACTGTGTTTGTGTTTTCTCTGATGTAAAACTAAAATTTCCCTAAAATACTGCAGAAAAATTAACAACTCAGGAAGAAGTGGTGTGTTTATCCTGGGGCTTCTGGAACCCACAACCATGTCATGCTCAAGCCTCTGTCTAACGGCACAAGACTGGAGGCTTTCACCAATCGGTCTGAGGACTTAGTAAACAACCAGAAATTATACATATAGCTGACTCACAATCTAGATGCACTCTTAAAATGTAATAGAAAAGTATTCTCTCATTTTGTCCTCATAAAACTCTCTGAGGAGGGTAGTAGTATCTAAATTTTAGATAATGAAACTGAGGCACAGAGTGATCAAGAACATGCCCACGATCACACAGGCAGGAAGTAGCAGAGCTGGGATTTAAAGCAAAGGAGCCCAACTCCGGAGTTAGTGCTCTGAGTCCCGTACAGACTCTCCGTCACCTGAAGCTAAACTCCCTTTTAACTGACTAATCCCTCGAACACCATGAAAAGTCAGATTCTGGGAAAGCCTCTCTCTCTGTCCACTCTCTGTAGCCGGTATTCCTTTCTTGTAATTAGCACTGCTGACTTTTGGTTCAAAGTCTTACTGGAAGACTCCCTGATTCCTTAGCAGTGTACAATGTTACTATCTTAGAGTGATTATATCTAATTGATTTTTTATGAAAACAGTGTCCGAATATATTTTCTATTTCACTTAAGGCCAGAAAATAAAAATCTGGGCTTTGTTTTAAGGAAGAAACACACAATGAGTACCAATTTGCTGCATGTGGCAGGATGCCCTTCTCCTTCTTTCTCCCTGAAGATTCGGAAGTAATCTCATCGCCTTTCAGGGGGGCAGGACACAGAGCACCATGTTGGGAACTACAGGCTAGTCCTGGTATGCCACGATCCCAAGTGCAGACTTGGTGAAACCTTCAGGTGGGACTAGCTCTCTCGGCCCACATCTCACTCAAACACTCTATGAGCTAACAGGTGCCAATATTCTCTCCCCTCCTATTGTTTCTTTCATATCAAGAGCTGGCATTAAGGCATCCTACTATCATGAAATGCTAGTGAAAGACTGTTAATATATCAATTCCAAGGGAAGTTTCACAATGGAAATGTGTCCAGTGCACTGGAATAATATATAAGTACTCAATCCAATCTGGAATCAAAAGGACAAGCTGTGAATGGCTATTGAGGTCCCTTATGACCACCCTTCTCTTCTGAGAAGCACTACTATAAAGTACAGCTAAAATATCAACCATCCCAAACTTTTAATTCAAAAGATAGGTTTTCAAAAGTCAAACCATTATAGAAGAAACAAAAATCTGCAGTAACTGTTGATGTTAGTTGTCCTCAAATCAATTTCTCCTCATGGTGACCCCACGTGGACAAGAGCAGAACTGCTCCAGTGGGTTTCCACAGCCTGTGACTGCCAGGCCTTTCTTCTGAGACGCCTCTGGGTAAGTTCAAACCACCAATCCTTAGGCTAGCAGTCACACTCTTAACCTTTGCGCCACCAAGGGACCCCATGTAGTAACTAATAAAGTGTAAATCAATTATTTAAAAGCCAGACTTGGACACTGAAGATAAAAGGTAATTCCTCTTCCATCCGCAAGTATCAAGGAATTATAACAAGTGCTTCTTCCCTCCAAGCACTCAGAAATAATCCCAGGTATTTCCAAGGATTTAGTCCCCTGTGTTTCTATGGGCTTACAGCCTGGGTTTTCATGTTATTCTCCTCCTTCCCTGATGACAGCTAAACTTCAGATGCTCTCGTTGCATCAGAAAATGCCTCCTGTTAGCAGTGCCTTAAGGATTACGACTGATGCGTGCCAATCATAACCACCTTGCAAGGCAGGCAGTCACAGTGTAATTAACTGTACTATCCCACAGAGGGGAGCTCTGGTAGCCTAGTGTCTAAGGCACTTGACTGCTCATCAGAAGGCTGGCGGTTCAAACCCACCAGCCACTCCTCAGAAGGAAGGTTGGGCAATCTACTTCCGTAGTAATACCACCTCGGAAACCCAAGGAGGGGTCGCTATGAGTGGGGTCTGACTCGACGGCACATAACAACAACAACAATAACATCCCACAGAGAGACAGAAAGAAAACTCTGCCTACTAAAGAAAGGAAACTTTCTACTTCCTCTTAAGTAACTTTTTCTTATTATAATTTAATATATATTCATTTAACAAAATATTAGAAAATGTAAGTAAGTGGATGAAAATGAATCACTCAGCAGTCCCTCCATCCAGAAGCAACCTCTGGTAAGAGGTCTGCATATCCCTTTATGGTCACTGCTTCAAAACCTGCTTTTTTCACGTAATATACTGGGAATATTTCCTATCTAATTTATATATTTTTCTGCAATGTTCCCCTTAATGGACTACCTGGAGTTGGATGGTGTAAACAGTTAAATGCTTGGCAACTAACTAGAAGGTTGGAGCTTTGAATCCACCTAGAGGCACCTCAGAAGAACGGCCTGGTGATTCACCTGTGAAAGATCATAGCCGTTGAGAAGCTGACGGAGCACAGTACGACTCCAAGACACATGGGGTCACCACAAGCCAGAACTGACTCAGTGGCAACTGGTTTTCGCATTCCACTAAGTGGCTGCATCACAGCATGTTAAGTCAGCCAGCACTGCAGGACTCTGGGGAAGTTTTGACACCGCTCAACAGTATAAGCAGAATTTCCTAAGGCATCTTCTCCCTGTCCTCACTCCTCCCTCAAAGTGACATAGTACAGCCTCTCTCTAGATTCCCTTGGGTCAGACCCCTGATATCACCCACTGCTCCCTCCGCAGGGTCAATACCAACCTGACAGCAGGGCGAGGCGGCCAGGATGTCGTAGGTGTACATGGTGCCTAGCTGGTGCCAGCTGCCGTCCCACCGGGACTTACACTTGATGCAGATGATCTTGTGCACCCCCTCCAGGCAGTCCACACACACTGCGTACAGGTGCATGAGTCTCCCTGTGCACAGAAGACACAATGCTGAGAGTGGCCATCTTGGAAGCCATGTCTCCAAAGGGGACAGAAAACGCCCCATCTATCAATTATAAAATGAGTAAACATTCTGTCATTTGGATAAGTATAAAAATCAAGATAGATGCTTGCCACATATTCCCAAGTTACCTTTTAGAATAATGATGAATTATTAACTATTGTCAATGGGGCATATATTTAAAGTTCAAAGTTATTAAATACTTGCTTCAATTCACTTTTCCTAAAAGTGTTGCTAGGTATACAAGATGAGCATACAGACTCAAATGACCAAGCCACACATGCTCAAACGCAGACTTTAATAACAAAAGAAATTTCTGCTTAGCAGTCCATGTGCAACACACGAAGACTGAACCAACAACATGAGTCATCGGTCACTGGCTTTCATCCACTGAATAGATGAATATACACAGTAAGGATGGTAAAGACAGTGTTCTACTAACCACTGGAGAACTGAGCTCAACAGGAAGGAGGAGGCACTTCGATTCTAAGCTCTATTCTGACAAATCCCATCATAAAAAAGCCAAAAGTCTGTCTTGGTATTGATAGTTCAGGATTATAACACAGCCAAAATTACTACGTTAACTGCCCTTGTTCCCAGAATTGCTCGGCCATCACCACATCTAATTTAGGAACTGGAATTTTATCTTATTTTTAAGTGGTTTTCTAAAATGAGTTCAATGTCTTCTTACTTACTGGCATCATAAAACTCATGAAGTGGCTCAACCCCATTCCTCCATTATTTATCAACACTCAGTGTTTACAAAGGAAGAACCAGGGTTCAGATAGTCAGAGAAGAGTCAGAATGTCCGGGACCAGACAGGGTCATGTGGAACGGCAACAACGCCGCTGTCTGGGCACCAGGGAGCTGTGCTGTGTTAAAATGTACCATCAGGAGGAGCACACCCTCCAGAGCAGCTTGATGCAGACCAGCCAGACCACTGGTCTTCACCTGTCAGTGTAGGGACTGGACTGTCCTATACCCATTAGGGAGGGCTATCATGTACTTTCACTGCAGTTGCTCACATGACCCTCTCTCCCACCTTGAGGGAAGGAACCACGTCTTACTCACCCTTGTCGCCTCAGTGTCTAGCACAATGTCTGGAATGTGGAAAGCACTCCATAAGTGTATGCTAAATGAATGTACACAGCATGTTAACAGCCAAAGACATTACAACCTGGGAGCCTCTATGCCCCAAATGGAAAGAGTGACAAGAGCATCTTGGCAATACTGCCCACCCAGTGCTGGGGCACTCTGAGTCCAGTCTCCTCCTAGACTTACTCACTGCAATTTTCAAACATTCAAACAGACACAGGCTGCTGCTAGAAAGAGTGGGGGCAGCCTCAGAGGTAAAGTGTGCACTGCAAAAAAGGGCGTGGGGGCATCCTCTGACCTCCTCTGACTTCACAAGGGGGAGGCAGAATCACCACCAGCAGCATCAGCTCAAGGCTGAGTCCCATGAGGCACAGGTCAGACATGCCACCACCCTCCATCCTTTTTGCCAATTCTGACAGCACCATCCCACACACAGCACTCTCCACTTACCTGCCTGGGTTCAATAACGATGATGACAGGTAACTTCTACTGAGTGCTTGCCAAGGGTCTAGCACTGTGCCAGGAGCCCTACATAAATCTTTTCACTTAACCCTCACAACAACCCTATTGTTACTCTCACTTCAGACCAAAGGAATTGAAGCTTACAGAGTTTAAGTAACTTGTCCAAGAAATACAGAAATAGTAAGGGCAATGATCCCACACTTAAATCCATGTCTGACTGACTCTTAGCTTCCAGGCAAACTCATGAGACCTCCTGGCCTAGACTGAGTTTCTAGACTTGTTTCTATCATAAGTATAACAAACGTAACACTTCTAAATGCTAGAGCTGTGAGTTCAAACACAAATAAAGATTCCAGTGAGAACAATCACATGTGGTTTAAAGTGGGAAGCCCACAAATAACTTCCTAATGAGCTCCATCTTAATAAATTATGAAAATCAAACAAAAATACATTTTCAGGAAGAGTCAGGGAGCTAAGGCTGGAGTTGGAGGGAGAGCAGTGAAGGGTGAGGAGCAGAGCAAGAGGACAACAGTCCACTCAGCCCACTACTGAAAACAAGGTGTCCCTTCAGCAATGTAGGAGCAGTGCACACTGTGGAAGCCTGCAGCCTGGGACATGGTCGTTCTAGTTGAGTTTAAAATGCTTTAAAGAATACATACCTTGCGATGGAAGAAATGATTACGCTAGCTTGCTATATACATCAAATGTATAGCAGTGAAAACAAAGACACATGGTCAAGGCCTCAGCTGTGGCACTGATGGTTCTGTGGAGATTGATAAAACACCTTGACCTTCAGGAGATTCTATAATAATAGTTACATTTCTTAATGCCCTTGTAATATACTCCTAACACATCCTCATCATATATATGATATGTATATATGTGGATGTACATGTAGGTACGTACATGTATGTACACACAACACACAAAATTCAAGAACATTTGCTTTTCACCTCTTCTTCCCCCACCCACTCCCTGACTGACAGGTGCCCTCGTGCTTTCGTCTTGGGCTCTGCCATACAGGCCTCCTTTTCTTTCTCTCTCTCTCTCCATTTAATACTTCTCAGTGTTCATCCCCAAAGCTTACTTCTAACAGTGCTCACTGGAGATGTCCACATGAAAATCAGATCATCACCTCAAACCCAATATGCACAAAATGTCTCCATCTTCTTTCTCCACAAACCAGGTACCTTTCCCAATTTTCTCTGCTCCTGCCATAATAGCACATTCATCTACCCTAGAACCAAACTTAGCCAATGATGATGATGCTTCATCCTCCACAGAAGTTATTCCCAAAACCTGAATTTTCCTTTTAAAATAGTGTTTAGCAAATATCCTGTCCTCTCAATTCCCACCATCACCACCCCAAGAGTCTTTCATCTCCTGTCCTCAAGACTAGTAAATTTCAACTCTCCTGCCCTAGGCTCCATCTCTTTTAAGCTACTTTGATCCTCTTCTTTAAAAACAATTTTAATAGCTCCACAACTTGATGAGTGTAACTGGTATCACTAAATTGTACACCATGAAAAGAACAAAATGGCAAATACTGTGCTATATATAATTTTACAATAGCAACGCTTTTCCTCACTTTGTTGAGAGCAAAGATGTCACTCTGAAGACTAAGGTGTGCCTAACCCAAGCCACAGTATTTTCAATCGTCTCATATGCATGTGGAAGCTGGACGATGAATAAGGAAGACCAAAGAAGAGTGGATGCCTTTGAATTGTGATGTTGGCACAGAATACTGAAAATACCATGGGCTGCCTAAAGAACAAACAAATTTGTCCTGGAAGAAGTGCAGCTGGAATGCTCCTTGGAAACGAGAATGGCCAGACTTCATCTCATCTACTTTGGTTATACTTGTCAGAAGGAATCATTCCCTAGAGAAGGATGTCATGCTTGGTAAAGTAGAGGGTCAATGAAAAAGGGAAGACCCTCAGTAAGATACAATGACACAGTGGTTGCCACGACGGGCTTAAGCAGAGGAAGGACTGTGAGGATGGTTCAGAACCTGGCAGTCCTTCATTGTGCTGTACATACAGTCGCTATGAGTCAGAGCCAACTAGACAGCACCTAACAACAACAACCCCATACACACAAAAAATAGCCTGAAGTTGCTGACACTCCTTAAGTATATCCAAATACCTCATGGGATTAGTTTTGTTGGTTTGAAGGATTACGGTCATGGCTTTGTGGGACTGTCCAGTCAATTGGCCTAATACTATCTTTAGAGTTACTGTCTCATTCCTTACTTAGTAAGTACTGCCTGGGGTCTTAAAAGCTTGTGAGCAGCCACCCAAGATACAATTGGTCTTTATTCCCCTAGAGCAGCAGAGGAAGGAGGAGACTCAGAAACTGGACTAAAGGTCTAACTGCCTCCATGAACAAATATATTCTTAGCCATGAGACCAGAAAAACTGGTTGGTGGCTGGCTACCCTTACTGAATGTTTCAATCAAGGAAGGACTCAATACACGAATATTTATCAAAAGAGGGGGAGGTGTGGGACAGAATTTCAAATTTTTACAGAATCCAATTCCAACTCCAATGCCATTCCCACTGGGTTTCAAAGGTTGTAAGTATTTACAGAAGTAGACTGTATTATCTCCCTTACGCAGAGCAGCTGCTGGGTTTGAACTGCTGACCTCCTGGTTAGCAGCCAAATAAATGCCTTACCCACTACACCACCAGAACTCCTTATTCACACTGAAGTAACCCCCAAATCTATCACTCTGCGAAAATCTTTAAACCATGAACTGAAACTATCCCCTGAAGTCATCGCTAAATTACAAAACTGTTTAACTAAATTAGTAAATAATGTTTGCTATAAGAACAGCATTCTTTTCAATAATTATCAATATGAGATCAAATTGTCAATAGTAACTCTAAAGCATACCTGAGAAAGGGAAAGTAAGTCTAAGTCAATAATGGTGAAACAGTATGGGTAACAAAACATGAAAAATGTAACCAACATTACTGAATTGTACATGCAGAAATTGATGAATGGGTGAATGTTCTGCTGAGTAGAATTTCACTAAAATTAAAAGTTATATATAAAGATTTTCTTTTAACCCTTAACTTCATAAGGGACATGGCAGATGTCATGGAAAGTCTCCCTATGACCTGTCCTCCATCTATTCCACTCGTTTCCCATTCTAGAACAGCTGCTCCAGCCAAACAGTGCTCTTCAGTTCATTCACTATCACTACTGGCCTTTCTGACCACCATTCATACCTTTGCTCATGTTGTTCCCTCTCCTCATCAATAAACACCTGACATGCCTCAGACCCTCTGTCTATCGAATCTACCTTCTGCCTATTAAATCTGCCTCCTCTGAATACTCTGGGCCAAAGTGGTCTCTTCCTCCTTGCAAATTACAAGACGTACATAATATCCATGTGGTACCAGTTCCA